AGCCGAACCCGCACCCACAACCGGTTCTGCTACGGCTTCATGTCAAAAGAAATCAGCTGCTTCAGCAACCGAAGTGTCAAATTCGATGTTCGGCCTCGTCCTCCTTCTTGCCATCGGCTGCTTGATCCAGTAGCTTCATTCCAATTGTATAGTTTTCGCATCTCTTGGATACCTTTTAACCATATCATTTTCTAATACGTCTGGACCACGTAATATCTTCTTCGGCCTGGTTAATATCATCATGACTTCAGTTTCTGTCCGCCATATAGATGTACTATTTATGCTCAACGCAACTTTTAATTTCTCTTTTGATTTTTTACCTCATGGTTGCACATAATACCAGTAGTGCGGAGTTCTTCAACACTATTGAGTTCGATCCTCTCCGAAGTCAGTCGGAACCAAATTTCTTGCAGTCTTTTATTGGATTTATACCATTACGTTGTTCTACATTTACTTTATATTATCATGGATTGGTGGGAGGCGAAGTGTTTTGACTTCAAGTATTTTTTTCCGTTTATGATTGGCATATATGATGATGTTTATACACGATTCTTTTAACTTGGATGTTTGGAACTATCTACCTATCTTTGAGGAGGAAGTTTCAGTCCTCTTTTTGGGGGACACGGTTGGGTACGGAAAAGAAAAGCAAGTGTGGAGCGAGCTTTTCTTGATGGATGTCTGGGTGGTGGGATGATACTACAATTATCATATAATCTTTATTTATAATGTTAAGAGAGCGGATGGGAGATTCATTATTAAATAGATGAATTGGGCTGGAAAGATGAGATGAATATGGGGGCGAGAAGCTTGGCGTGGTATAGTGATGTGAAGAGAGGAAATGGATGGTGGTTTGGCTATATAAATGTAGTGATGGAATGAGTTGAGATACCAAGTATTACTCTGCAGTTTTTGTAGTTTTTGTTTTTTATATTGAATTTATTGTTCAAATTATGGTGTCTTTTTGTTGTACTCGATGGGATGTATTCCATCATTTCAGCATTGCAGCCAATGATGACGTTCTTTTTGTTCTAGAACTGCGGGGTCGCCGTGGCTAGATGCCAAACCTAAACCTTCTGACAGTTTATCACGTGATGATCAGCAAGACATTACTTAAATCCACATTTGATATTCACCTCACCATTACACTACACATGCCTCTACCTCGCCGCTTTCCATCCAATTTCTTCACACGCAATATTACAAAATCTCTACAAAAATCTTTCAAAATGGACACCCCACAAACCAAAATTCCTACGCGCATCATGATCATCTCAGACACCCACACCTTCCAATTCGGCAACCCCAACATCCCCTTCTCACTCTCCAACATCCCATCAGATATAGATATTCTCCTTCATTGCGGAGATCTCACCAGAATAGGCGATCTCTCCGAGTACCGCTGCGCTCTCCAAATGCTCGAAGCTATCCCTGCGAAATTAAAACTCGTTATTGCGGGGAATCATGATCGTACTTTGGATAAAGCGTGGGTATTACGGCATCTGCGGAGGAGATATACGGAAGAGGAAAAAGAGGAGGCTTTGAGAGTTTGTGAGGAGGGTAATGAGATTATGCGTGGGGAATTGGCGGGGAAGGCAGGAGTTACTTATTTAGAGGAGGGTGTGCATGAGTTTGTTTTGGGGAATGGAGCGGGGTTGAGGATTTATGCGTCTCCTTTTACGCCGGAGTTTTGTGGGTTTGGGTGGGCGTATGAGAGGGAGGAGGATAGGTTTAATGGGGTGAGTGAACGGGAGGTGGGTATGAAGGGTGTGCGTGGTGCGGTGCGGATTCCGGGGTTTGAGGAGGATCGTGATAAAGATGGAAATGGGGATGGGGGAAATGTAGATATAGTAATGACTCATGGACCTCCGATGAATATATTGGATAAAGTTGATGGATACGCGGGACACGTCGGGTGTGTTAATTTATTTAGAGCGCTCAGTAGAGCTAAACCAAAATTATTCTGTTGTGGACATATTCACGAGGGTCATGGGGCGGAAGTAGTTTCGTGGGAAGAGAAAGATATTGCGCGGAGAAGAAATGTTCAGTGTTGCTGGCCGGGGTTGAATAGGGAAGTTGTTGTGGAGGGGAAGGAGACACTGATGGTTAATGCGAGTATTATGGATGTGGGGTATAGGCCGGTTAATAAACCGTGGTTTGTTGAGATTGGTTTGCTGAGGGCAGAGGGAGGGGGGGGAGTCCAGGGGTGAGGTGTGAGTTGTGAAGAGTTGAGTGGGAGTTTGGTGTTGTGGGACTGGAGTATTATATTTTTAAGCAAGTTGAATATGGAGGAAAGTGGAGGAATTATATGGGAATGCTTGGAGAGGGCATCAATATGGAATAGAGTTTATATAGACTATTTGGAGTTGAAGAGGGAGATTTGAAGCAGATACTACGAATATCATTTGTTCAATCATGGAGGTATAGCATATATATCTAATGCAATCAATTCACAAATACTCAAACAAAAAAGTGCAATGCTCAAGTCTCAAGGGTGACGACGAAATAGAAGCGAATTTTCATGTTAAATTTGAAATCTACTCTAAATGACGAATCACTCACTACCAAGACAAGACGTATACACCAAGACAGTTCACAAGAAACCACATCTTCCATCACCCATCATATCCCACAAAAGCAACACCATAATAAAGCAATCTCATTACCAGTCCCCTAGCACCCATCCAAAAATCTACCTCTTCCGCAACCTCGCCGGGAACCTACCCTTCGGAGGCAAAACGCCCAGAGAAAAGTACCTAAAATCCGGCACGGGCGACTCCCCATCCCCTAGTAACTCAACCTCCAACCTCGAAAAAAACACCGCCATACTCCCAATAACTTCCTGCTTCGCATAAAACCTCCCCGGACAAATCTGCTGACCGCCTCCATAGGGAATCCACGACCCATTCACCGCATCGGTGATGAGTTTTGGTTTTGTGGTTCTCTCTGAGGGATGTTTATCTTTATCTTTATCTTTATCCGTGTTGTATTTTTTAGGACCGCTGTGTGGATTATTGGGATAGAGGATGAAGCGTTCGGGCCAGAAAGATTCCACATCGTGTTGGTTGTTGGGACCTTCGTTCCAGATGGATTTGTCGTGGCCGGCGTACCAGATACTTGCTAGGATCATGGCGTTTTGGGGGAATTTCCAGGGGCCGATTTGGAAGGTTGATGTGAGGGTGCTGCGTTGGATTGCGGCGGCGTTGCGGAGACGCAGCTCTTCGCAGTAGATGGATTGGAGGAGGAGGTTTGATAGGAGGTCGGGCATTTGTTGGGTGATGGTATTGCTTTGGTGCAGGGTTGCGATTGTGGAGAGTTCGGATTGGATTTGGGATAGGAGGTCTGGTCGATGTAGGATATCTAGGATACACCAAGCGATTGCTGGGATGCTGTTGGAATTTGCCCTGGGGAGCATTAGAGTGAATTTGAAATGTTATGTTTCATAGCTTTATTTCACTTACCCCCAAATCAAACCTAGATCATTAGCCGCGCGAGCTTGATCACCAAAACCATTGATTTTAGAAAGGAAACGAGCTCGGTCTCGGAAAAGTTTAGATCCATAGTATGGTTCCCAGGACTTCTTCTCAAGCTCCTCGTCATCACAATCGATATGCGCTTCTGCTGATTTGTGCCATGCAAGAATACTCTCAACCATTTTATCTCTAATCTTATAAGTACCAGGGATTAAGAATCTGGGGATACCTTTAAGCGGACCTGCAACTTGAGAATCAAAGTTCCAAAAGTCTTCGGTTAGCGTGGGGACGACTTCGAATATATGCGTTCCGCAAAGTGCACGAGTGTTGGCATTGAATATGATGTTTTGGATAAAAGTGTATAGATCTGGTATATCTAGCCACTCATCGGTTCCCATGTCTAAATTATCTAGTTCCGTGTTCAGGTTTTCCAGGAATCGAGTTACGAGTTCTGCTAATCGGACGCCGGTAAGATTATCGGAGAATCCTTGATGGGAGATATGGTGATAACGTTGATCTGCGGGTAAAGGATTGGTGTCCGGTAATGGCTGTGTTGAGGTGCCGGTGTTATCATTTAAGAGGACAGAACTGACTTCAGGAGGGGAACCAAAAATTCGTTCAACGATGGCTGCCATAGCGGGAACGGCAGTCAGTTCTCGAGAACCCCGGAACAGTTTGAGAATATATTCTGGTCCGGAAACAAAGTAGAAACTATGGCCGCCAACTCGAATTCGAACAGGTACATGGGGACCGAAACGATTTCTGCACATCTATTAGCGAAAGGAAATAGATGTGCGTGTCATCACCAGGTACTCACAGAAGATGCGCAAGATATCCACGAGTATCGAATGAGAAAGCAAAAAGGTTACCGAATATAAAATCTGGTGATGGGTCAATAGCAGGAGATTTATGAGTACTTTTACTGCGCACAGCGAGGGTAGATTTAACAGTAGTAAGAATATAAGCTATCAGAAAGGGGGAAAGACAAATACAAAAAGCTGTAGCCCTCCAGCTCCAGGAAAAGAATATGTGATCTAGCATTTTGATATATTAGGTTCACATTGTCAGAGGGAAAAACTTCTGTGTTATAAAATATATATCAGAGAATAGAAGACGATTTGTATTACCTAGAGAGGTTCAACGTATGCTAGGTAGATAGAGTAAACCATCATTTTTGTTTCTTTATTTCTCAACAAGAAATCGGACAATGTCTTTTCGGCTGCATGGCTCGTGGCACTTGCCTCTTATTGTTCCTTGACATTGTTCTCTATAGCAATCTCTTTTCGCGAAAAGGTACTGGGCATGCCTTTACATTATTACAGGCAGTTCTATCGAATCTGCTTGTAAGAGTCTTGCGATAATGCCCATATCCAATTTGGTCAAAGGCAATGGATGATGGATGAAGAAATTGGAAGGAAGTCGATGAGACCATTACAGTATATATAGTATTACATAATTATTTCTGCCATCTCTCACCGCTTGCATGCTTTCCTTCCCCACCGAACCCACCAGATTCTTAATTGAAAAACAGTGTCGCAATGTTTTTCCAACCAAGACAACTGGCATTTGGCTTGATCAGTGTCATGCAAAAGTTATATCTGGTCAAAGTATCATGACTTCCATGTATCTATTAGTTCAAATGCCCATGGCCCGACAAAAGTTCGTTGGTTTCAAAGGACACGTTTGGATGTATGTTGACTCTTCTTCAGTGGTGCCACGATTGTTTTTGTTTTTAGCATTAAAAAAAATAAAGAAAAAGCCAAACGCTTCTGAGTAGATGCGGAAAGGAGTGCTATATAAACAATTTCCTTCCTCCAAATATAATATTGAAGAATGTGTATGAAAATCCTTGAGTAGGATGCATGAATACCAAGAACGAAGAGAATGGACAGATCTTCAAACAATCCATTTGTCCGTTGAGAGGCAATGAACAAAATCATTGATTGTTAGTGAACCTGTTTGCAGCATTCCTACGCTAGATTGTCATTGCAATAAAGACGTTTCTAAAATTTTATTCTTTGTCTATTTGCTAGGTCATGCTCTTCCTTAGGAATTTTTTTATTCCTCAGTCCATGTCCAAGAACCAAAAGAGCTGCTCCCTTTACCAAGATCTCAATATTTTTGGATAGTTTTGTACAAAAATTGTCAAATTGTTACCAGGAAAACTTTTACCTAAAGCTCTGCCAGGCCGGCAATATGGCATGTGGCACTCCACACTTCACTCCTCATTACTATAATCTTGATCTTCCAATCAATGCGACTCAAAAACATGTCAAACAGGCATATCGTCGCCTTGTCAAATTAATACATCCAGATAAGATTAGAGATCCAAATCAAAAGGAGAATGCCTTGGAAGCAATTCAGCTTATCAACGAAGCTTATCGAGTGTTGACCGACAATGAGAAGCTTCTTGAGTATCGCTATCAATGTGCTAGGTTTGAGCAGGATTGTCATGGGAGACACGACCTTTCCCTGACATGGGAACTCGATTACTGGAACGAAGAATGGAATAACAGATGTCGAAATGTGACAAGCACGGCGCCCAAACCGTGGTTTTGGAATTATGACTCTGGCTCAACTGGGATAATGTGCGTTGATTCGGACCAACCTATCGGAGCCCTGGGCTTGGAATATCTCACGGAGCCGGATCAAAGATTTTGTACCGCAACTTGGGTAAATCTTGTCCATCTATTTGTGGATAATGGGCTACCTAACTCTGTAAGCGACAATATATGGCGTTGGGCTGAGAGCTGGAGAGATGGGTCACTCAATGGAACAAAACCTAAGCACGAGTTTTTGCACTTTCAGCGTGGTTGCGATCATTATCACGTTATGGTCCCAAGGAAGGAAGCCTACACTCCATGGTCACAAATTCCAGCCAACACCGATTGGCCAACTATAGGATATGCGTGTGAATTATTTTGCCCTGATATCTTGATATTACCTTTCATCCTTTACATCATTGTGCTTTGTCTCTTACTATACATCTGCTTAAGTATACTTAGAAAGCTCTCAAGGCAGATATCACTGGCATTTTGGCCACCATCTGCAATCTCTAGCCCTACTCAGGTTGAATCACTCGTAGTTGATCTCATGACAAGATCACAAAGAGAACCTCAGTCTAGTGCAGCGGGGCCACAAAGTCCGTCATACATATCAGAACGGGACTACTATGTAGATGGGGAAGCCACTTCAAGGTACTCTTCCGATAAACTGTCCCAAACGCAGTGTTACAACTCTGTAGAATTAAGACGTCGGCCAATAAATCCTCCGAATAGAGCATTATCAACACAGAATTACAGCACAGAAGAAACTCAAACTCCATATATAAATCCTTCGGATGAATCACTACCAACACAAGATTACACCGCAAAAGATTCCCAAGCTGGACCAGCAAACTCTACAGACAAATCATCACCGACACAATTCTTCAGCGCAGAAGCACAACCAGTAGGATCTCCTGTAAACCCATCACAACTACTCTCATTACGATCATCAGAAAGACCTTGGTACTACTCCGACAAAGACGGCGCCAACGATTTACCACTACGAGAGCGAAGAAGACCGACAGCCCCCTACGAACCACTACGACCCCGCTTCGTCCACTACGAAGACGAACAATACGCCGACGATGAAAGGACCCCTAGACTCTGCATGGCGCTAACGGCAACTAAAAAGCCCTGTCAGAGAAGAGTATCAATGGTGACGCCGCTCACGGGCTCGACCGTCTCGGGACTCGTCTCTCCGCTTTGTTTTCAGCATAGACATGTTAGGAGGTGGATTCGAAATCATAGTGATCAAGATCCTTTTACGCTAGGGAAATCTTCTTTGGTGGAAAATTCGCCGGGATCAGGTAGGAGGCGTGTTGTTGCGTAGATTGTGTTTTGAAAATCGGGGATTAGAGGGTTTGGTTTAATGATTATTGAACTTGGTTCTCGATGAATGAAAGATACAGTGAGATGGTATGGAACCATTTTGACCTCTCTTGTAATTTACTAGAAATTTGGGGGTTATTCATATTTTGTACTTTTGCAGCGGCAAATAGAGATACCAGCATCTTAAATACACAGAAGATTACTTCTTACTGGCAGGTTAGAATTAGATATGAGTTTTCCACATTTGAAAGATTGGTGTATTCTTATATTCGAACCAAATCTAATATTAGAAAGTTAAAAAATTGGCCTTTGGTATGATTTGAATGTTATAGTCATTTATATTCAAGAACCTAATAGCTTTTCACCATTGGTTTGCAATTCAGATGATTGGATGTCCTGCGATCTTCGGCGATTTTTAACTATTACCAGGTAGGATATCCATAAGTTTGAATCGTGGGAATCTTAACTGGGTCCAGGGATAGTGTCTCGTCCCCATGAAGTATCACAAAGAGCTAAATTCAAGCAAATAAAAAATCACCACAAAACAATATTCACAAAAATAAATCTCAAATTGATATCTCCAAACACCTAACCACACAAAAACCCAGGGTATCGATATGCAGCTTCCCCTGTACACTTAAACCGCACTCCCTCCCCTCTCCTTCCCATCCCTATCGCCATTCATATACTCCACCCTCTCCTCCTGCACACCCCCAATACCCACCCCATCCTTCTCCTCAAATGCAACCACATCCCTAACCCTCTCATCCAACAAACTACCCCCAGGCCTCGTGGTCCAAGGTTTCGGACCGCCCTTTGCAAAAAGTACTTCAATTTCCTCTAACGTCTTACCCGCCGTCTCAGGATACGTAAAGAATGCCTGCACAGCCGCAGCCATACACAGCGCTCCAAACAGAATAAATAATTTCCAGCTAATGTTTTGAAAGGCAGAGGGGATGAATAAACCGATTGCGAAATTGAAGAGCCAGTTTGCGACGGATGCGAGGGCCATTCCTGTCGCGCGCGTTTCGAGGGACCAAATCTCGGCTGCGTAGACCCAGGCGATGGGTGCGAGGGTTACAGAGTAGATGAGTACTAGGATGTAGCAGAAGGCGATGACGGTGTAGGCTGGGGAGCCGGATACTTGGACTCGTACGCTGAGATTGCCGTTTAGGCCGTCTGGGAGGTAGGTTCCGTAGGAGCCGAGGATGCCACCAACTATGAACATGCATATGCCCATGCCTAGTGCGCCAAAGATCTAGAGGTTTGGGTTAGTTATTCTGTGGTTTAAGGTGTATGTATTAACAGGAGGTACTTACGAGTAATGGTCTTCGACCAGTTTTATCGATGAAGAAAAAGGTAGCTGCAGTACCTATTATAAAGATCGCGTATTGAATTCCGGAAGAAACAAGTCCAATGTTTCCCGTCAAACTAGCCATTTCAAAGATATATACCACGTAATAGGTCATAACATTTGCACCACTCAATTGTTGCCAAGCTTGAACGGATGTCCCTGCTAAAGTACGTTTCCACATGCCATTTTTGAAGAATCGTCTCCACCCCTTTTGACCTTCACGCTCGGCTGCAAGAATAGTGGTGATTTCTTCCCATTCGGCAATTACTAGCGGATCGTTGACATCGCCGCCTGCTTGGATATCTGCGAGAATAGCGATGGCCTCTCTTTCGCGGCCAACTTTTGCGAGCCAGCGAGGTGATCGAGGAAGGAATGGGATACCCATCATGAGGATAATGCAGGGAACAAATTGTATGGCCCATGCGGTACGGAATGATGCTGTTGGAGTGGATTTGATAAAACTGCAACCGTATCCCACAAAGTACATAAGGAAAATACCCCATTCGATAGACCATTGTTGAATAACGATAATGGATCCTCTACTTTCTTTCTTGGCAATTTCGGCGAGGTATACCGGTGCTTGTGAGGAGGTAATACCCACACAAATACCGTTGATGAAACGACCACAAATCAACATGGGAATTCCATTACAGGAAGTTTGAAGAGCTGTTCCAAGTAGCCACCAGAGACAAGCAAAGAATAAAGAGTCCCGACGACCGTATTTGTTGGATATTGGACCGGCCATGATGGCACCAATAACCGAACCACCAGCTAAGGCAGAACCAATACCTCCTTGTACGACACCCTGAGGATTGTCAAAGTAGTTTATGTACTGGCTGGTGCCGATAATGGCCGACATAGATGAAATATCGAAACCAAACCTGAAAATATTTCATTAGACACTATCCATCTCTGCATCATCGTGATAGCTATGGGTACTTACAGCATTCCACCAACCGTGGCGATAGAAGCCAAAAAGTACACATTATGGACCTTTGGAAAGTGCACCATCTTGACGACAATGTAGTAAAAACACCAGGAAATCTATCTTCCCTTGAGAAGCAAGTGAAGAATGATACAGAGCTTGCGAAGTTCGCTTACCTTTATACAAGAACGGTGAAGGTGACAAGTTTATTCAAGTTATCCAAGTTATTTAAATATCTTATGCACGTACTCCACGCTTTCTCCATTTATGTCTACGGGACGTACCGCGCGGAAAATTTCTTGAATGAAAATTACCACATTCAATTGGTGCGCTTATAATTTTCCACCAATGCCATTCCATATGAAGTTGAGATCGTCGGAAAGACAACTTTTAGTGTGTCATTCTACATTTCGTTAGACATGAACGTTAATGGAGTCCGTGCTGTCGCCTAAGGACTACCCGGCAAGCATTGCAGAACTGCGGTAAGCTTCGGAAACATAACCTTAGATCGGCAATGTCAGCTTAATACATCAAATTCATGTTCAAATTTCCCTGATTTGCAGAAGCGCATGCATGTGATATTGTTCCACGCTGACGTACATTCATTGTTCTTGAACGTTTTGCTTGGACTGATCGTTGTGGGGATATGGAAGCAATGCTCCAGATTGGGGTCGATAGCGATAATATTGGTTTGGGGTCTCCAGAAAAGCTCAAATCCGATGGGTCCACAACATGTGGGGACATAGTCCGTAGATATCACGGCATTGAAAAGCGGTATCGTCAAAGTAGGATTCCTCAACTCCATTTTGTTGCACTGGCAACGCGTATCGTCCAATACTGTAAGCGGATCAACCAATAGACCTGTGTAATGTAGGTGACGTTGCGTGCTGGGTGGCACAGTTGTGGATCCATAACAGCGAGAACCATGTCAGAATTACTGATACATTTCGAGATTCCAAATACCGAATTTTATATTCTAAACAGGGAAATAAAGAAGTTAAGACCAAATATCCTAAATGTTTTGGACAACCATGAAGCAACCGCTCGCCGTAGCATCTATCCTCTGACCTGATCCAATACTATCCACTAGGAAGAACTATAGTAGATAACGGCAATGGTATAATTACAAATGCCGGATAGGATGACACCCTCTGTATAGATACGTACCAATGTTGTCTGCTAAAAGTGCAAGACCTGCCTTACTCCAAATCTATTGCAAATCTCTTTCTCAGTGACGCTCCATAATAATAAAAAAGTAGGGGACTTGGGGCAATTGCAACACTGAAAAATGCAAATATGCTCAGTCCCCACCCGACTCCAACATTATCCAATATGGTTGGTGTGATCAGAGGAACGATACCCCCAAAAATACTTCTGAAAAAAGCACCAGCAGCAATGGCACTTGCCGCATATTTCTCGAAACTATCGATGTAGTAATTTTGTACAGTATTAAAGATAGCGACTTGTCCAATACCATAGAAGAAAGTGGCAACAAGTGTTACAGCCCAATGTACGTGGTATTCAACCATCAAGGCGAATGAGAATAATGAGACAGGAATGAGAACCGCGCCAATGTTTGCGAGAGGGAGACGAAACTCGGGCTTCGCTTCCCCATTATTCATGCGTGTAAGGTGATTTCGGACATCGTCTATCCTCGGGACTATTAATCTCACTGCTGAAAGGAATCCAAGTCCTGGGGCGAGATATACAAGTCCTACTTGAACAGTGCTGAACCCGTATCCATCGCCGTAGATGCGGGAGAATTGGGTATAAAGACTGTATGTTGTGGCGAAAATAAGGGCTTGATATGTCGACATGATTAGAACAATTGGCTGAGTGAACAGTATTTTAAGTGGACGATGAACTGCTTGTATGGCTTTCGATGAGAAGGGTCTTGGATCTTCCCCCTCGAAATAATATTCAACGTCTGAGCATTCCTCAAGTTGTTTCTTCCGATGTGTAAGGAGAATAGGAACATAAGTTTCTTGGAGAAGAAAGTATACACCGGCGAAAACGACACCACATATCATCATCAAAATCCAGAAAAGCCATGGCCATTCAAGATTTTGTAAGATAATACCGCCAAGGAGAGGGCCAATGGTCGGTCCTAAAAGTGGCCCAAGAAGATACCATCCAAAAACACCTGCCCTTTCACTTGGCAAATACATATCTGAGATGGTCCCACCTCCATTAGCGATCGAAACGCCTATGCAAAGTCAGTAGACGCTATAATTATAGAGGTGGGAGGGCGATTTACTCCCGAAGAATCCGGCAATAGAGCGAAATGTGATGAGTGCAGCAATATTGGGGCTCAGTGCCGTCGGGATTTGTAGCAAGGTAAAAATACCAAAGCAGACCAAGTACAAGGGCTTCCGCCCAAAAGTTTCAGATAAAGGAGCAAGTAGAAGCCTATAATATCTTCGAATAAGTATATTGTTCATTGGAAGATAGTGACTGACGCACTTACGGTCCAATTCCAAGCATTATAACGAAGCCGGCTTGACATGCGATCACAGCCTCGGCTGTTGTGTCTAATGCTTCTGCTATTTGATTGATACCTGGTGCAAACATACTGCTTGCCAAAGGCGAGAGAACTGTCTAATATCAGACGGGTAATTCGGAGCAGTTAATGAAGTGGTACATACTAGCCATGGTGGCGATAACAGCGATATTTCCTAGTTTCTTCCATTTTGACCAATTCCTGGGGTTCTCATTATCATCCTCAGAAAATTCGAGCAACTAGAAAAGGTGTCAATCAACATAAACCAATTTTGAGAGAATCCTTACCTCTTTATTGTCAGCAGCCTCTTCATGTTGAATGAGGGGCGATCTCTCGTGTGTAGTTTCGGGCATGTTTCTAGGATGCCTATTGAAGTGTATATATAGTATATATGTGAGATTGCAACAGGAAATAAAACAATTGTAGGAATAAATACAAAAAGCAAACAATTCCAACTGTTTTGATGCAGGAAAAGAAGAAAACAGGGAGAATTCATGAAAACACGCTGATCTCAATGACGACGAGACACTAAACAATTACGGGATACGGGAGTACTCGGTACCTGTTTTCTAACTCCAAGACTTTACGAGTCATTTCGCCTCGATATCGTGCTGGAATCAAGGTTCTCTTAAAACCATCGTGATATACCGACCGTTGAAATGAAGGTACACTGCCCGATTCTAGAATTGTTCTTGTTGTTGTTTGTTCTCTGGAAGTCTTTAAGCTATCCAGCCGTTTCTTGACAACATCCATGGTTATCACGTGAGTATGTCACGGGATCTTCGGAACATTTTCGCGAAGCAATCGCGTCCTACGACAATCCATTTTGCCACTTGATCATGATGAAGCTTATATATATGATTTACGATTTATGACTTACGAATACTCTCTGTAGTTCTACTCCGTCGCATTTGGAGATGGGTTTTCAAAGAAAGGATTCATGTGGTTAATGAAAGCTTGCGCTCCCTGTCATCAAGATGGGTAGTCGCCTAGATAAGAATTCGGAATCTATTCGAAAGCGCATTGAGTCGCATACTTTCCAAAATGAAGGTGGTGAAGAATATGAAGGGTCAAAATTCGGAGGTTTCTCTGATTACTTTCGGCGCAAGAGAATCAAATTGCAAAATCTAGATGCAGAAGTTCGTTCTACATCAACAGGGAATCCCAATATCTTTCGCGGCGTCGTAGCACATGTAAATGGGTATACACAACCCTCATTGAATGATCTTCATCATCTAATAGTAACTCATGGAGGTGGTTTCATGCAATACCTGGATGGGAAAACCACCGTTACCCATATCATCGCATCAACTCTCACGCCCAGGAAAGCGATCGAGTTTAAACGATATAGAATCGTGAAACCTGCTTGGGTAGTCGATAGTGTGAAGGCTGGAAAATGTCTTCCTTGGGATTCTTATCGCGTTTTGGATGAGGGCGTTGGTCAACGATTACTGGGGTTTAGTGATGGTAAGGTTGTCAGTCATTCAAATACACCACAAAGAGGATATCGCGATCAAACAAATGCGAGTTGGTATACAAGTCAGGTCAAAACCGTCGCCGGAAACATTGACGATGATGATGGGCCTCAATTTCCGAGCTCACAGGTGCAAAGGATTATGCCACATAAAACTGGTGCGTTTGCGCCGTCGCCTACCGACCAACTAGTAGAAAGCCTCGAGGAAGTTGACCAGATACCGGTTGACGACCCTATAAGCTCAACTGGAAGCTTTGAAGTTACATCTTCCTTGGAAGAAGCATTGAAGCACGCCGCCGACATTCCTACCCCTACTAGTAGAGAAGCCTTGAAGTCTACTAGGACAGCAAAAGACAGTTTTCTCATGAATAATTCTCCTTCACCCTCCCCTGCTCTTCAAACCTCGTCAAGTCCAGCTCAAGTCACCCCTAAGAGACCAGAATTTCTGCTTGGCAACACAAAGATATTGCACGACGTTGAAGCGTCAAGATATGCCGAAGAAGTACCTGTTGAACGGCGATTATTTTCCAATGCCAAGAAACGACCACACAATGAGGAAACATATAATTCTCCTAAAAAGGCGCAGGTTGAGACGGCAGAGGAACACAACGCAATGTTGTTAGCAGACCCTCACACGCGAAAATCTTCGACCGCGAATCCAGACTTTATCAAGCAATACTATTCCGAGTCTCGACTACATCACTTGTCCGCATGGAAGGCAGATCTCAAATCAAAATTTCAGCAGATGGCATCGGAAAAGTCCGCTTCTCAAAAACAATCAATGAAATGGAAGCCTGGCTCGCGACGATACATCATGCATGTAGACTTTGATAGTTTCTTTTGTGCAGTATCTCTCAAAAGTGCACCAGAATATTTCGATAAACCTGCAGTTGTTGCTCACGGTAATGGAACGGGTTCGGAGATCGCCAGTTGTAACTATCCGGCACGTGTATTTGGCGTCAAAAACGGGATGTGGATGAAGAATGCCATAAAACTATGTCCCGACATAAAAGTTTTGCCGTATGACTTTCCAGCCTACGAAGAAGCCAGCAAGGCATTTTATGAAGCTATTCTGGATGTTGGCGGCATCTTCCAGAGTGTTAGTGTCGACGAAGCGTTCGTTGATATTACTTCTTTGTGCTTGGCCGCTGGTGGTACTGATGGAGTTGGAATTCGGGAGGGTAGCATTTGGAGAGAGCAAGAAAGGGCTGAGGAGATTGGAAATGCACTCCGAAAAGTTATCAGGGAAAAGACGGGTTGTAATGTATCTGTTGGAATTGGAGGAAACATTTTACTTGCAAAGGTTGCCCTCCGAAAAGCTAAACCAGCTGGTCAATATCAGATTAAGCCGGAAGAGGTTTTGGATTTTGTGGGCGAACTCGATGTACAAAATCTTCCCGGTGTCGCCTATAGTATTGGTGGAAAGCTTGAAGAAATTGGGGTGAAATTTGTGAAAGACGTCCGACAATTATCAAAGGATCGTCTGATGACTGTCTTGGGCCCCAAAACTGGAGAAAAGATATGGGACTATTCTCGGGGCATTGATAGAGCGGAAGTCGGAGAGCAAGTTGTGAGGAAATCTGTTTCCGCTGAGGTAAATTGGGGTATCCGATTTATCTCACAGGTTGAAGCTGAAGAATTTGTTCAAAATCTCTGCATTGAATTACAGCGTCGATTAATCGACCAAAGGGTAAAGGGGAGACAAATGACCATGAAAATTATGAGGAAAGCTGCCGATGCACCTCTTGATCCACCCAAATTCCTTGGTCATGGTAATTGTGATACTTTTAACAAGAGCATCGTCCTCGGTGTGGCTACCAATGATGCTACGATCATTGGTCGGGAAGCAGTTTCAATTCTTCGCAGTTATGGTTTTTCTCCTGGGGAACTACGCGGACTTGGTGTCCAAATGACTAAACTTGAGCCTGTGAAGTCATCGAATGGTACACCGTTTGATGGTAGTCAAAGGAAAATTAATTTTGGTGCTCCTGTGGTGTCAAAGCCAGTAAAACAAGTGGTTGAGGATCCCATCGTTGATGATCCGGAGACTCCAACGAAACGGAGAACAACTCCTCGTGCACAACCAACGAATCCCCTTTCAGAAGGTATTCACGATCCTGTAACACCAACGAAACCAAAATCAATCATGAAATCAATACACACCGAAGATCCTATAGATGAGAGCAGTCCTTTGAAAGCCAAACCAACTCCAGCTCACCCTGCAACCTTCATTGCAAGAACAAATGCTGGTGATCAGAGTGCCAGAAAGCTTAATCTCACTGGAACTCAATTCATTATACCAAGCCAAATCGACCCGGAAGTCTTGAAAGAGCTTCCTCAAAATATCAGATCCAAACTCATGGCTCAAAGTAAAAGTGTACCGGTATCAAGGGAGCAAACACCCGTCACAGCCATGCCGGAGTCTTTATCTAAAAGCCCGTCTAGGCTCAAAACCTCGCATATGCCGTCACAACTCGATCCCGAAGTATTTGATGCACTGCCCGAAGAAATGAAAGCAGAAATTTTAGCAAGCTATAAGCCACAAATAGCAAACTCTATTCCAGGTGCTCAAAGTATTCTTCCTCAGTCACCTCGGAGAAACAGAACTATCACTGGTAAGAAACCACCAACTCCTGTCAAGAAACGAGGAAGAGGTAGACCTCCGGGACCAAGGATAAAATCCGAACCACCACATGGTCCGCTCCAATCAAAGTTTGTTGCGAACCCTCGCGCACGAGAAGTATCAGTTGATGCTACCGATGATACGGAAGTCTTAGATCCAGAATTTCTTGCTGCATTACCAGAAGACATGCGCGAAGAAATAATGGCTGAACATCGGCGAAAACGCTTACAAAAACGCGGTAATCTAATGACATCCACCGTCAAAAAAGTCAAGAAACCAGATCCACCACCGCTTGGACCACGGAAAATCCGTTTACCCCCCAGACCTATAAAACCTACTTTCACCACGCAAGAACTAAGCACGCTAGAAGAGTTACGAGAAACGCTCACGATTTGGTTTCGCGAGTTCGAGAGTGAAGGTCCGCATCCGGATGATGTGGCTGCTATGGAGAGATATTTGAGGAGAGTTATCTTGGATGAGAGGGACTTGGCAAAGGTGGTCGGAGTGGTGAAGTGGTTGGAATGGTTGAAAGATGATAGTGAGATTGTGGGGAAAGGAAAAGAACTTTGGGAGAATGCGTTTGAGGATGTAAAAAGTAAGGTTCAGGAAGCTGTTAAGGAGAGGGGCTTGGGTATCCTAGATATTTAGGACGTCTAGTGCTGAATTTTATAATTGCTTCGTCGAATTTTACAGGTGTAACGTAGCTTGGGATAGATTTTTGAGATTACTCGGGATTGGTGGGTGTTGTTCTATGTATACTTATGTTGTAGCTGCGAGTTTCGCTAGCTTTGCTGGTATTATTATCAGTAGACAGTACTGCAATACCCGCGTACTCTAAAAAGGCTATCCTCTATAATTCCAAGTTGTTCCATTTACTCGTATAATTAAAGCACAGGTTCTCATAATATATGTAGCTAGCCAGAATTCGAAGAACTACTCGTGCTTCTGGACAGTATATTATACTTCATTGTTTCACATATAGAACTACAACAACATGGTAAATACTAAAATATATGGAGAATAGTAATCTGAGTTCATATTTAGGTAGAATGCGATGTGCTTTCTTACAGCTCCAGTACGATTAACCTATTGCTATTGGAACATGGTTCGAAGATATGTATGAACGAGAATAAGAATAAGAACGAATGGGTTAGCTGATGCATATGGTGGTGTATTTTATCGGTTTTTCTCCTTTTTGGTGCTACAGGAGAGCGTATTGTGTTGACCTCCTGGGATCTTGGCAGCATATGCATATATAGTACATATGCATATAAGGAGCAAACAAAACTCAACTTTTAATTCATTCTTTCCTTTTTGGTATACTGTTTGTTTGCTTTCAATATTTTGATTTCAAAGCACTTTAATTCCGAAGGCCGAATACCCAACCTATTCCTTCATTTTTTTGAATATATGCTCGCAGCTTAACTGCTTAGCTAGAGAATAAATCAATTCAATCTGATGCTCTTTCTAGTCTCAAGAAACCCAACATATTGATATTCTTAAAGTTCATAGTAACTATGGCTTATAAACTTGGATATGTAGTAGGAGGCTAGTATAATATTCTAGGGTTACAAGACAATGAATGAATCAATTCATCGATTCTACACCTTATTACCCTATACTCATAAATTCAACTTCGATTTTCTCCAGTAACACCAATAAATTAACTTAAAGTCTCTAGAAAAGCCCCCAAGGAATGCTACTCTCAAAGATAAAGGAGACGAGATGATGGGGAGATAAATAATAACTGCCTAAAATACCTGTAAAAATTAAATCGATATATGAGATCCGGACTAGCCACAGCTTAAATCTCACAACATGTGATAAAAACTTATTAATAGAATAAATAGAAGTTGTAAAAACCCCAAAAAGAAGAAAGAAGAAGAAAGTACCTATCAGTATTTCCGAGTTATACCGATGATCTACTCATACGGCCGGATAGTCTGTAATATATTAAATATTCAGAGTATTATTGGTCTGGCATAGATATGACGGGTACTTAGAACTATTTGAGGTACTCGAGTATCAAAATCGATACTTCGTAGAAACAATCAAGTTGTATTATTAGAGTAGATTGAATATTAGCAAATCTTCAACTTATTTTCTGCATGGATCTGCAATTGATGAAGTGGGATGAACAGAGATAATAGGTCCCATTAGCTGTACTAAGGGTCTCCCGCGTTGAATCTAAACCAGAGTAAGAACATGCTGCAGATATTCTAGCCGCACGAGTATCCAAGGCGTTGAAAATACTTTCTCGTTTGGTCCAGTATCCATAATTTTCAGTGTCATTTTCGGTAGGTTATTGGATTGAGGAACTCGTTGTAAGCCCACCTACCCCTCATTGTAGCCATATTTATCAATTCAAATTCCGTAAACTTACTAGACGCCGGGTGTTTCCACTATCCCGGGCCGCGTTTCCAAGAACTTTAGAAATGCTTTATTGGTGGGTGGGCGCTGCAACCGAGAGTGGATTGGTGATGGTGGGGAATGTTGGATGTAGCTGAGTGCTTTATATATCATATCCTCCTTCCTCGTCCTTGAGACTTTCTGTCATTCCACCACATGGTATAGTCGCAAAGATGGGAGTTGTTACTACGATATCAGGCTTGTTGTCTCAAATCGACCTTTTGACGTTTGTATGTGCAATTGCTGCATACACATTCAGTTTAGTCGTGTACAGACTCTATTTCAGTCCTCTAGCTGGCTTCCCAGGCCCCAAGCTGACAGCAGCGACTGAATGGTACGTGATATACTTTCAAGTTGTGAAAGGCGGGCAGTTCTGGCGAAAAATTCCCGAGTGGCATGAAAAATATGGTTCGTACCTCGATCTCGCGTTCCTTCCTTGTACTAAGTTTCGTCAGGTCCCATTGTCCGCATCAGCCCTACAGAACTCCATATTAGCGATCCTGAGTTCTATGATACAATCTACACCACCGATGAACGTGACAGAGTTTACCTTCGCAATGCGCTGCCCACGGCACCTTCCGCTACTCACTCCACAGTGGATCACTTCCTTCATCAACGACGACGTGCAGCTCTCAGTCCTTTATTCTCTAAGCTCAACCTTCAGAAATTCCATCCTCTTATACAATCTCGTGTCGATATCATAGTTAATCGAATTAATACCGAATACAGAGGTACTGATAGAGTTCTCGATCTCGGAAATGTATTCGCGTGCTTTACGGCGGATGTAGTGATGGAATGTGGCTTTGGTACTAATTATGGATTTTGTGAAAAAGAAGGATTTACGTCGGATTTCATGGAAGCTGTAAACAGCATGTTCACCATCTTGCACTTGTCGGAGCATTTTCCAATGTTGGCGTGGATTATGAATTGGGTTTCTGGTCTGCCGTATAACTTCATGAAGAAGATTGTGCCGAAGAAGACGGAGCCCGTTTTAAGTTGGCTCGAGGTAATATCGATGTAGCGACGTGAAGAAGAGATTGATACTGAATTTTTGATAGGATCTTAGAACTGACTTGAGGGCCGTGATGCATGGAACGAAGGAGAAGACTGAAACCGCGCAATCGACAATATTTCACGAGATCCTGAAATCGGACCTACCCCCCGAGGAGAAAAGCGAGAAACGACTTCATGATGAAGCACAAGTGATTGTTAGTGCTGGAGTTGAGACAACCAAATGGACGTTGACAGTGGCAATGTTTCATCTCCTAGAAAACCCGGAGCTTCTTTCTAAGCTACGAGCTGAGATCTTTACGGTTTTTCCGGACCTATCCTCTCCTCCTTCATTAGCAACACTTGAGAGGTTACCTTACTTGACCGCGATTGTGCAAGAAGGTAATGTAGCCATTGAGTTTGATAAATGCCGAAAGTATTCTCTGACGTAACGGCGCTCAATAGCACTTCGATGTTCCATAGGCCTACAAGCACACGGTCCCCGTGTAGCACACAGACCTCTCTCATACACAGATCCAACAACAAGACGCACTTACACCATTCCGGCAGATACCCCATTATCGTGCGCCACGCCCATGATTCATCACAATGAATCTATCTTCCCATCCGCACGTTCTTTCATTCCTGAACGATGGCTTTCAGATCCTGTCACCGGCGAACCACCCAAGGTCAAACTTGCTTCCGGAGAAGAAAGGCCATTAACAAAGTACCTAGTCACCTTCTCGAAAGGTAGTAGACAATGCCTAGGGATGAATTTAGCCTATGCCGAGATGTATCTTGGACTGGCTAATTTTACAAGGAAATGTGAGTTCGAGTTGTGGGAAACTACACATGAAGCGGTGGAAACGTGGGCTGAACATAACGTTCCAATTCCCAAACCAGGCACTGGGGTCAGAGTCAAAGTTCTCTGAGATGAAAGGCCTAAAATGTAGAATGATATATGTGTGAAGCACTTATAATTAGTTATAGGTTGGGGTCGCAATGGGGGGGAGCTGATCTTCAAAGCTGGTACCTTTAAGAAAGACTTTCTTCAAGGTTATCAGCCCTGATCTAGAGGTTTTTAGATCCGCAATGTATATTCCGACGTGTCGGATACTGATAGTAAAAAGACACACATATTCCTATACGCTCGGATTCCTCTGTGTCCATGTGCTTCGTATCCAGCCTTGAATAGATTTCCTTTTTAGGTTCTATTGCACCACGCTACTGTAGGTATGCCTGAACTTCAAGCTCCTGAACAGCCAAGCCATCTTTGTTTTCTCCTTGGGATCTCTCGAGCTCAAGACACTTGTAACTCAGATGAAGTCATGAAATCTCTACTGCTATCAAGTCATCCATCTAGACTTCAAAACCATTCCACTGCAAAAAGAAAAGCGACGAAAAGAAGCTTACCGATGCCCATCTCCTATCATCTCCACCAAACTGTCCCGCCTCTCTCTTATCCTTCAAAGCTCAAAAAGAATTCGCCGAAATGCCCACAATTGATAGCAATGATAGCGTAAAATGCTTACTAACCGACACCCTAAAGCAGAAAAAGGATTAGACTCTAGAGCCTCAGCCGTCGATCTTCCGGGCTGAAGTCTCGGCGCTGAAAGATCCACCCCAGCTCATCCATTTATTTGCGCCATCCATTTACTAGCTCACCACGCGAAAATGAATCTAGAAGGAAAATTCAAACAATAATAACTGTACATGTTCTGCACCTGCACCGCAGCTGCATTTGCTATGTTATCCTCCTGTCTGTGTTCTTGATCCTCCTTTTCCAATCCACTGTATTTGGGCTCTGTCTTCATCGCTGTCCGTTCGCTTTTGTGATACCGTCGTGTGTCGTTTTATGTACATTTCTGGAAAAGACATCCATCAGCAATTATAATTATACAATAAGATATTTTCTTGAAATGGCGCACACACTCTCTTTCATAGCGATGCTTTTCGCATTCTTATCCCTCACCACCTTCACATTCGCCCAATCGTTAACAACATCCGCTACCTCGACCTCCACAGCTACAGCAGCAATTGTGCCAAGTGCATCTTCCTACACTTACATTGGTTGTTACAATGAGACGAGCAACACGAATAGTACCGGGGGACTAAGAGCTCTTAATGGTGGTGTGACTGAAGCGTTGGATGTAATGACTGTACCACTGTGTATGGCATTTTGTAAATCAAATGGTTATGTCTATGCTGGGATTGAATATACCAGGTTCGTTGCACCCATTCATTTTCCTCAATTATTTATCCAAAAATCCAATTGGAGAATAAATCTAATAATCACATCAGAGAATGCTATTGCGCTCAGTATCTTTCCGCTCTCGCGCCTAAAGTAGATGATTCCCATTGCAATCTCCCGTGTGAAGGAAACTCGAGCCAGATATGTGGTGGTTCGTGGACGCTATCAGTGTACTTGCGAGAAAATAATAAAAAGGGAGCTGCGAGTGGCGGAAGGGCGGAATTGATTGGGAGACAGGCGGTTTTGGCGTTGGGGATTGGGTTTGTGGGTTTGTTGATTATGTGTTAAAGAAGCATGATGATCGGGAGGTTGGATATGGAAACAGAAATGTGAATGTGAATGAAAAGTGGTTGGATACGATGCCAATGGTACATGAGCAGGAACACAAATGCATGATTAATGAACAGGTATATATAGACTAATAAGGAACTCTACACAGAAAGTGATTTTGGAAGCAAAGTATCGCTATTGTGGTCGCATTCTTGCACATGAGAGGTTGTTCCATCTTGATCGTTCCAATGTTTGATGTTTTGTTCCGGAACATCCGGGAGAAACAGAAGATTACAACACTTCGCGATACAGTGTCGTCAATCCCAACACTCTATTAAGAAGAATCTAGATTTTTTGATGAGGATGTAAAAGAGTAGATGCTCTACGTATGTTCATGTTGAGCAAGGCAAAGACCTACAAGTTATATTTAAGTATCTTAAAATTTTCCCAGGGGGTAATTTTCCTGCATTGGTAGATAGTATTCCATTTTACAATAATTTCCCGTCGTTCTCAA